GAAAGAATTTATTTGAAAATAATTCCAACTTCAACCAAAGCTTCCTCCTCTAAGCATCCGAGACCCCATCAAAGTAGCGAGTATAACATAATACTCGATAAACAAGTTCTCCTCGGTACGTTTAATAATCCCAAAACTCCCGACAAAATCGAAAGAAGCTTTGTACGATCGCGTGTGCGGCACTTATTAAGAGAGCGACTTACAAGTAATTTCATTTATATTCAAGACTCCGGAAATATGGAAATTTGGCGCGATTCATCTTACTAGCATGCGAGATAACTGTAGATTGATCATTCTGTAATAATTTGACGTTTGCACGCGACAGATTCGAGGCAAAACGGGATCCTATATAGGATGTTTCAGGTCAGGTCAATGAAACTTCAGGATTTTATAGGAAATTGAATTTGGAACAAAAATATTCCTATAAACACAGGTTCGGAAACGCTTCGTTAAAAAGTTATAACTAATCAATTTCAAAAAATCACGTTTTTTGTGATGATTTTTAAAAATAACTTCAAAAGCCTTCATTCATTTGAAAAAAGTAACAAAATAAATCTGATGGGTAATTAAATAACAAATTAAATTACATCAATTTTATTTAATTCTGATAAGGCGTTTAAAGGAAAATAAACTCAAAACAATGAAAAAAGCAGAAACTTGAAAAAACCACTTTTCGATGGCTTTGTGTAAACACTACATTCGTAGTGCGAACATTGCAAATGTAAATAGAAATGTTCTTATTAAATTTTAATCATAACTAATTACTTGCAGAGAGTTTATTATCTGTAACTTTTTAACGAAGCGTTTCAGGACCTATTTTTATCGGATATATTTTTAACTTTTTTGTTCCAAATTCAATTTCCTATAAGACCCTGAAGTTTCATTCACCTGACCTGGAACACCTTGTATATGCTATTGTTCGAAAATGAAATTTCGATGCATATCTTGCTGCTCGTTAGTCAAGGGAGAAAGAGGAGGATTCTGGAAAAATGAGGTGGATTATAGCGGAAAGTAAATCGAACAAAATCATCAATCTCGTTGCTCGTTGAAAAAAAAAAAAAAAAAAAAAAAAAAAAATTACTTATGCACTCTCGTAATATTATTTTACTGTTCGAGATGTTACGATAAAATGCTCGTTCTTTTTCTTCGCGAAAAAAAGACAGGAACACGATGATATCTTATTTCTAAGACCCTGATATAATTATGGTGCGCCTTCATAGTGAGAGCTTGGTGGAGAAAGCGGTCGATACTGTATACGATGCAGGTACGACGCGTTTTGCCATCTCGAAGGAAAGGCTGTATACTTCATGTAGTCTAAGAGCGAGAATTCTTACAATATAATATAAAATATAAACTCTATTTATATAATAGGAAAGAAATAAATACTTAAATATTTATACATATATGTGTGTTAATTATATAGCGACGCTGCGGCAGGATTATAACGTTATGCGATGTACGGGTATATTAATGTTAAAAATTGGTGATACTTAGGACAGCTCGACATATATACGTATAGATTAAATGCTGCAGAATGATGATTATTATTAATATTATCTAAACGCGTCGTACCGTCAATTTAAAAAAAGGTCCATCAGCCGACCGGTTAATCGACTGATTAATAAGCCTCGAGACTTGTTTTAATTATGTTACAGTACAAACTTGTCCTTAAATCTTACTTAAGCTTATCTCGTTATGGTAAAATATTATAGCGTAGCGAGAATGCACTCTCTAATCGTATTGCTATAGTAAACCGCCCGCGCGGTCGCAGATTTCTCTCCCAATGCGTGCCGCTGCTTCTGTATATAATTCGAATCACCACAAATTTTTCAAAGCGGAAACGCATTCGCCCGAATATATGTGAGGTCGCTCTCTTATATCTCAATTATTTAATTAATTTTATCCGAGATATCAAAGCGCGTATAAACACGCGATATTAATCGTTAATTTTATGTACATATATATTATACTTTTTATTACACTCTATATATCTTTATATAAATAAATTTTATTTTTACACACATACACGCGCTTGACTCACGCAAAGCTACACGTTGCTCCGAATTATATAAGAAACGACGTTTGTTCCTATTTGCATTATCTCACCCCGCTATACCATCACGAACGCAACTTTGAGAATACTGTGAAGAGCTGGTACAGCTTCGAATCTGATTATCATAAAAACACCTATATATTTCTAATACCGTCGAAAGAGCGGTCAATATTTACTTAAAAATTGAGTACATCCAGGTTTCGGCTCATATCATTCATCGGCAAAAGAATTGAAAAAAAAAAAAAAAAAATTAAGTTTTACATATAGAGCGTATTACAACGTGTGCTTTCATAAGAAATGATGATTAGTTATTCAATCGGCACCATATGTAATAGGCAAACGGAAACTTTGAAATGTAATGTTTAAAAAGAAAAAAAAAAATAATTAAAAAAAATTAAATAAAAAAATGCATAAATAAATATTAATTTCATGTTGATATAAAGTGCCGCATACGTTTAACGAATTTTGCAACTCTTCAAATAAAGATATTTCTGCGATTCTTGAAAATCGATAATTTCTTTAATCCAATTTAAATTTATTGAAATCAGTGTCGCCGACATTAATTTATCTGCATATATATGGTGACGCTTAACTATTAGTATTAAAGGAACTCTATTTATATTAAACATCTTTCTCTATACGAATCGCGATGACTGCCACGAAGTGTACAAGAAAAAGAAATTTAGTCGATATAACGTAGGGCTTGTAGATTCAGAAACCGTGATGTGGAATTTACAGATTATTACGGATTATTACTTACTCGGGAAAACGGTTCAAATTGCATTTCATTGCGGTACGCGCCGCAATTAAGCCGGCCGTTATTACTAATTACTACTGTGCACTTAGTCTCACTATATGACGCATTTATTACTCTGACCAAGAGATGGGAAACAGTTAGAGAAAACTTATTCGCGGGGAACTCGAATCTCCCGGAAATCTTTCTTTCGCGCGTTCCACAATCTCGAGTGTTCTTCCAAGTTTTTTTTTTTTTTTCGCGATACAAAATTAATCTTTACAAGGGAATGGCTGCATTAGCAAAGGTCGGCACTCATATCGATCGTTTGATTTTTTTCGATCCGAAATAGAGAAATAATCGCGCGCGAATCTTTGAATTTTTTTATCATATTAAAATATGTCAAGTTGATCTGTGTGTGTGTGTATGCGTATGTTATTCTCTTTCGTCGAACTTCTTGATTTTTCGAATATTATTTCTTCTAGTTTCGAGACACGTTTCCTTGAATTTGAACGAACGATGCGCGACATCTGAAACTTTCTAGACTGCGTATACATCCGCGTTTCTCCCTCTTTCATGTACATACACACGCACACACTTTCTTTCTTTCTTATTAACATACAACACTTTTTCATTATTATTAAATACCGGAAGATTAGTTTGTTCCCTTGCCGGGGCAACGAGATGATAACTTTTATACTGTACAATTATCTGACAACGGGTACGATATATTATAAAAAAATTCAGTGTTATACTTTCTTTCGCCATAAGCATTTTTCTGTTATTTATACACATGCTGTCTCTCTCTCTCTCTCTCTCTCTTTCTTTCTTTCTCTGAAATCTCTATTGAAGATAGATCCTATCATAATTCTGAAAAACAAATTTTTCAAAGCACTGTTGGAAAATTTGGCTAAATTTGACATATAAACATGTCCCAAACGGACCACATAAATTTTTGTGTTAATTTAACATAATATGGATATGTTAAATGGTAACACTAATATTATGTTAATACAGAGTGTCTACTCCCTGGAAAAACATGGAAAACCTGGAATTCTCAAGGATTTCTTCTGTCCCTGGAGAAATCAAAGAATTCTCATGGCATTCTCATTTATTGGCATTCAGAGAATTTAAAAAAAAAAAAACTCTTTTGTTGATCATTTTGTTCCTATATTGTAAGCAATCAAATGTATGAATTATTATATTTAAAATATATTATAAATATATATCTATCTCTCTGTTTCTATATATTCAATATTGAATATGTAGTACATATTCTTTATTGTAATTTTTAGTCATTAGAATTTAGCATTAGAAAACGCATATATTAAAGAAACTTATTTTAGAAAGTTGCACAAAAAATCTTTAAAATATTCTCTTCACCTGGAATTTTGAACAAAAATACTTGGAAGATTAGGGAACTTTTTTACAAGATTTGAGTAGAGACTGTAATATTTCAACACAAAATAAATGCAAACTTCATAATAATTTGAAATAAATTTTGTGTAAAATCAACATATTTTTAATGATAAAATTAACTTGGAAAAATGTTATTGATAGTTTGTAGTCACTCTCACTCCTATCATAAAATAAAATCAACGTTTTTTTCGGTAAATTTTAAGATAAATCTGTCATTAATAATACGAAACATATATATCGTGTAAAATAAAAAATATGTGTACATTTTTATACTTTTTTCAGTTGTTTTAATAATTTAACATTTGAGTCCAATTAACACAACAACAATATGTGAAATTAACACATGAATTTGTTAAATATTTAATACGAAAATTTTAACTGGCATATTTTTTAACAAGAAAACACAAATGTTCCAACAATGAGATATTCAAAATATTAGTATTAAGGCGAGAAAGAAAATGCGTGAAAATTTTTCTGCAATCAAGATATAAAAAGATATACTCGTAATATAATTATAGAAATCAATTTCGATAAATTTCTCTTAACACACTATCAGAAATAATTTTCTCTTAACACTATCAGAAATGCTTTGCACAGGAGATTTGATATTATTTTAAAATAAAATGCAAGAAATCATGTAAAAAAACTGCATAAATGAAAACAGAGAGATCAGTCTGCGATACAAATTTACGTAAAATATATGCACACAGATATATTTCTGTGGTAATCCTGAATTTAAGTTTTTAGAGCTATTGAATGTGAAGATTAGTCTTTTGATTGCGGATAATTCTATTCCGCGAACGTAAGATGCTTTCTGTTTTTTTTTTTCTTTCTTTTGAAGTTAAAACGCAGCACGAGAAGAAAGTCAAATTTGTTTTTATGCCAACAAAGATGTTTGTATGTTCATTATTATATTCAGTAAAGTGTGTTAGTTTGTGATTTGGCGAGAAATTTGTTTTCGAATCTCTCGAGACATTTCACACATGTATATAATCGTTTCACAAACTTGGTTAATCTGTGCTCATAGTGATTATTGAACCGTTCCAAGATGTGACGACATGACGAGAGATTTAAGTAAATATGCCTAATAAACCACAAATGTTTGGTATAAACTCATGTTCGTGACGAAAAAATTCTGCAAAGAAACGGAAGCTAAAGTATAGAATAGAATATATTGACAGGATCCGTCCTATAGTTATCTCAACGTATTGCGTTTCTTTCTATCACCTAATTTGTCTTTACTATCTACTGATTGTTTACGTTACTCCTCCAATTCCGTATCTGCAGGAGATCTGAGGCTAAAAACACTCTCCAAGTCTATATAATTTTATGCCGTGCAGAAAACTTAAACGTGTGACCTGACCAACATCCCTGATTTATGCCCGCTCATCACCTACTTCTTCCCCTTCCTCTCTGCCTGTCTACACTAAAACTTTTATAGAGACTGTGAATATATCGTAGAGATTGTAGATACGCTCTTATTGCAATAATTATCTACGAGGTATCCGCACTTTTGCGAGGAAGAAACTTGTAACTTTATTTACACTTGCGAGGGTAAAGTTTGTCTTTTTTTTAAAACTCTCTCGATAAATTAATTACGGGAACTATATATTGCATCAAGTTCTATTAACTTACCATACGATAACTGTGTGTAAGTAGAGTAATTATTTACAACCTTGAGATTATATGCCGTAATAACGTCTCATGTTACGGACGCGCGTGCGACAAGGAACTCTGGTTTACGTAAATCGTAAATTATTCTTTCGCGTTGTGTGTGCCTTCAATTAATCCTGAAACAACATTTCTCGAAACAGTTAGAAACTTGAGCGAAGCTCGTGTTATGATGATGATAAGCTCGTAACAAAATCAATAATTAACATGCACATCGTATTCATCTCGTGCTTTTTAATTCAAAATTTCTCGTTACGATGATTGAATATGCGATTGAATATATATTTCATATTTATACCTGATATTGCAAAGAAAAGAAAACATATCTAGACTCTGGTCAACATTTTTCCTCACGTTATTAATATATTCAATCAATCAATTGAAAATGGAATAAAAATCCTAATGCTTGATTATTCTTGATCACATTATCTAGCATGAAGAATGTGAAAGAATTCTCTTAAAGATATAGAGAAATGCTGGCAAAAGAATCTTTTGTGTAAATTCGATTATTATTTACAGCACGACGTTCAGGAATAGTTGCTTCAGGACTTATATGCAAAGGACATAGAAAAAAGTAACTCTGAAAGGAATGAACAGTCGATACATAGCAAAAGGACTCGGAGCTTCCGGACGTGTTTAAGAGAAAGAAAACACGGATCTGCGAAGCTGCGGTTTCCGATAGGCTAATCAAGGTAGAAACATTACGCGCCTATATATCTCTATCTAATTATTTGATGGCTTAATTTATATTACGAACACAACACCATCTTTCCCGAGGTCTTCTCCTTGCATTGCTATCCACCGTCAAGATCTAATTACGTTTGGTCCGCAACGAGAGAAGGACACGAAGCTCTTGTTGCCGCGCTAACGAACGAGTGACTTGGTAACATCTTTTCTCGTCCAACAATCTCGTCAGGACCACTCGCGCATTGCCCTGAGTATTTGTTTGTACATTAATATCTACAGGTTTTTCCGCAAATCTTGTGATCAAAGAGGGCTTCAAGCAGCGTTATCTTTCTCTCGCGCTAAGATTTTTTTCGCTTATAATTTATATATAACTCGACTAATCTCATCGATCAAGCGGAACGTCCTCGAAGTTAGTTACATTACCAAAGTGCTGGAAACCATTCTTGAAGATCCGCCCGCGACTGGTGCCCGCCTTCATCTGATCGAGCAGCGTCACATTGTCCTCGAAGTCCTTCACCCACCTGGCGGTCTCGTGACCCCAGTGAAATCGAATCGGCGCGGCGTTATGGTAGACTTTTTTTATGCCGAGACTGCGTATCTCGATCCCCTCGTCCGCATGGTAGAAGGACTTCTCACAGAAATCCTGATTCAAAAACGGTTCCAACTCGGCAACGATCTCCATGAAAGTAGGGCGTTCGCTTGGTCGCCATTTGAAGCATTTCTCCATGATCTTCTGTACGGTCTCTGGACAGTTACGTGGTATGTGCAACATGCCCTTGCGCAACACATGATGCAACACCTCCTCGTTCGAGAAGCCCTGATATGGTATCTCGGCGAGGGTAAGTATCTCGTACAAAACGACGCCAAAAGACCACACGTCCGAGTCAGACGTAAACACACCGTCGGAAAGATTCTCCGGCGCCATCCAGCGTATCGGCAGCAAGCCCTTCTTGCCGATTTTGTAGTAATCGGTTTCGTAAATGTCCCTTGCCATGCCGAAATCGCCGATCTTGCAAACGAGATCCTTCGACACCATGCAGTTGCGCGCGGCCAGATCGCGATGGACAAATTTCTTCGATTCGAGATAGGCCATACCATCGGCAATCTCCGCCGCCATTCTTATTATCCTGGACGCATCGGGTACCAGTTGGGTGTCACGTATCCTACGTAGATACGTTTTCAAATCGCCGTTCTCCATAAGCTCCATTATGACGAACGGCGGATTGCCCATGGAGACCACGCCTAGCAGTTTGATGATGTGCCACGTCGAGAAGTTCTTCATGACCGAGGCCTCGTTCAAAAACTCATTCTTCTCCCGCTGGCTGGCGTTCTCGGAGATCGTCTTGATGGCCACTTGCACGGTGCCATCCAAATAACCCCGATATACCATGCCGAAGTTACCCAAACCAAGCTCTTCCAGGATCTCAACGTTTTCCCTGGGCACTTCCCAGCTGTCGATGACGTACTTGGTCTCCGTAATGTAATTTGGCGGATTCGCACTGGCTATCAATCGCTCCTGTGTCCGCTTCTTTTGATGACTCTTGATAAGGAGCGTTACCACGATCATGCTGACGAGTAGCACAACTATAGTTAGCAGTGTCGCCAGTATTATCTGACTGTGGTCCGATAGACCGATGGAGAAGTAAATCACCTTGGTGAAGGTGCCATCACCTGCCAGCGAGGTGGAGCGTATTCTTAGACTGTACCTACCCGGACTGAGGTTCTTGATATAATGATTGTTATATCTCTCCTTATGACCGGTGTACGGTGCTTTTCTACGAATGCACTCGGTGCTTTTCTTCGCGTCCTTCACGTCTAAATTCGTATACTCGATAGTATAAGAGACTGTGAATGCGTTCGGGTTCTTGACCGATTCCCAAATGACCTCGACTATTGTGTCGTTCGAAACGTGGACCTTTACATTCTGAATGTCATCCGCGTTCGGTCGCATTTTAGTCCGCGCGTTCGCGTACTGAATAGACGAACACATCGGCGTATCGTCATCCACCTTCACGCCACACGCAGCGATCGTGATGGTGTATAAAGAATAGTGACGTAAATTCTTCAAGTGATACGAATTATTTCCAGCAGTGACATTGTATACGAACACTTCATTATCTATATGACTGATCGCGATATTACTACCCGTAATGGTTGAAGAAACGTTCATTGCCATTTTCTGCTTCTCCTGCGCAGAGGACAAGTTATTTGCCAAATCGTAAAATCTACTATCCGGCGAGTTGTACGTATTGAAAACGCAATAGTCCTTCCAGCCGGGTGACAAGTAACTGATGGTCATATTCTTGTGGCAGAATATCTCGAACTGCTTAGAAATCGCGAGTTTCGCGCTCGCGTCTTTAGAGCAGAAGGAATTAGGATTCGAGATGAGCGGAGTCTTAATCGTCACCTCGTGTATCTCTTCCTTCTCGGTTTCGCTGACCAAGGTGTCGATGCAATAATCTCGAGAATCGATCAATTCCTTCTCGTCGTCTGGTTGAAACGTACCGGAGATCATATAGTAACCTATGGGACCGTTTGGATACACTGGCGGGGCCCACTTAAACAGAATCTCGCTGTCACTTATTACGGTCGTGCTCACATTCGTTGGCACTGAGGGTATCGCGCTCTTCGTCCGGAAGAAGATAATCTCTGACTGACCCACCGGACTTATAAAGGAATTCTTGTTCCTCGCCGTGAATGTTTTCACGTACGCGGCGTACTTGGTGTATGGTTTCAAATTCGTAATATTCTTCGAAACGGTCGAGTTCCTAGATGTACCAACATCTACGGTCTGCCATGTGTTATTACCACAAGCATTCGCCTCGTACATTACATTCTCATTCTCGGTTTCTATGTAATTTAGTAGATAATTGAGCAACTGTTGGCCTTCTGATGGCTTGTAGCTGTCCCAAGTTAGATTCACGTAATCGGCAGCCCGCTCCATTATCGTAATATTTATATTAACGATGTTACAGGCCACCTTGTCACCATTCGATTCCGGTTGTACTTCAAGATCTGTGAAATTGGTGATGTTTACCGTTTTACCGAATTGCTCTATCTTGGAGAGACAGAGCTTGGGATTATAATGGAAGAATAGTCTGCCTCTTTCTATTGTTATATTTTGAGACGATGGAAAGAGCGAAGAGAGATTCGGGTTGTCCAGCACTACGAAGCTCGCGTTATTAATGTCCAGAATTTCACCCTTGATCACCTTGAGCTTCTTGAAGAAGTCCAACGATGTGATTGGGAAGGAATGCGTTATCTTCACATACTCGGTTATCTCTTCGATTAAACCAAACGCGTCCGCCAATTCGTTCATTATATTCGGATTCCCGTTTCTGATTTGAAACTCTAGGGCGCCCTTAACCACTGTTATACCGCGAAAACTCTGAGCGTCCGAAATGTGACGTATAATAGCGCCGCTTCCGATCTTACGGCACTGGCCTGTACAAATCCGACAGGTTGTTGCCTGTAATGTAAAATCGAGAAAAGAAAAATCAAGAAAAAAATTCGCGAAACAATATGAATAATAATTAAATGTAACTATATCGTACATTCTTCTCGTCGACATCATCCTCGTAACCGTCAGGACATTGAGTGACGCAAGAATTGTTGAAAGGCCGCCATGTTTCATCTGTTTTAGAAAATCTTCTGAACTGGTTCATTTTCTGGCATTCGTCCTTGCTGATGCAGCGTCTCGACAGATACGCGTATCTGTCAACAGAAAAAATTCGTGTTACAGTAGGACAGGAGATCTTCCTACTGCGAGAGATAGGACATAACACCATGTGTGTCATATGAAACTTTAAAATCTTCTTCACTGACACTCTCTATATGCAAAAGCTGTGAGTGCGAAATAAGATATGACGTATAATATGTGAGCTACATAAATCGCATAAATTTCGAAATATTTTATGCAAGACATTTGAGGAATTAAAACCTTGTTTTGACAAGAATTTAATTCAGCGTTGTACATTTCATTCTGCCCAATTTCTTAATTTTCAACATTTAGGTACCTCAGAATTTCTTTTTTCCAAATCAAATATATTTTAATAAAATTTTAATTTTTAATTATCGAAGACATTCGAACAGTTGCAGAGAGAAAGAAAGCAGTCGAGCAAATTTTCGCTAAAAATTGTCATCAGTTTATTAAAATATTGGTGATAAATAAACAGTTTGGGATAATCTTCGGGATAATTTACACAATTTAAACAGAAGTCAAGTAATCTGTAGATTTATTACATCTATATTTTTGTATTATTTTGTATATAAGACACAAATATAAAGAGAATTAAAGAGTTAGAGTTTTACTTTGTTACATCGCGCAATTGCATTCTTACAAAAATTACTTACAAGTTAGGCGGACAGCTTTCGATGCATCTTCCGTCATGCCGGAAATGTTTGCACACGTAGCATTCACTGTCGCTCGGACCGTAACATTTTCCGAGGCATTGTTCGTGACATGTTGACCTCTCTAGCAATTGGCAATGTTGGGCGGTCCAGCAATAACCGCCAGGACACTGAGAGCATCCTATAATAAAATAATATTAAGGTGTCATTTATATATATATCGTAATCGCACTCAATTCTCTCTGATATAAGGTCTAAAAAAAATAATTTTTTAACTATCTATCACCTTTCATGTGCGGGCAATTCTGTGCATTTACGTTCTCTTTAATGAAATTCTCGCCAGCCGGCACAATGAAACTCCAATTCACAGTATTCGTGAAGCAGAGAGAGGGATTCTTCTCAATGCGTACACCGCCCCGAGAGATCTTCGTCAGACTGGTGAGACCGATCTGTGAAAAAATTTCGGTGAATTATGAGTCAAAGGTCGAACAGCTGGTTAATTTGATTGATTGATTAACGTCACTTGACCCAAACCATTTAACAGGGTCCTATAGCAACAGATTGGACCACTACACCTTCGAACTGTCTGAACTTGATTCGGCGTGGGAATGAACGATCGCGATATGGATTCTACGTGACGAATGAGCATCACGTGCGCGCGTATGAATCAAAATCCTAACGTTCGAGCGATGTGAAAAATTGCAGTTCTACGATACCGTTTGTCATGAAGTGTCAATATTAAATACAATGAACTCGCGCAATCGAACGTCAAAAGCTCTTATAATCCTTCTACGATTAAATTTGTGTAGAATAAGACAATAAATTTTCTACCCCTCAACTGAATAACCCCTTATATTGAAATTAACGTCTGCGAGATATTAAAAATATTGATGAGTATATGATTGGTATTATTATATTAGTATTAATTAATTTATTAATAAATTATATTAACGAGAAAAAAATCTCTGACAAATAAAATAATTACAAGTAAATCAATAGTAGATATATACAAAATATAAGAAGAAAATATAGATAATATAATATTTTTTATGATTAATAGCTAAAAATTGAAGTTATTGCGAATTTGGAACAAAAATATCAGAGAACATTTAAATTTACGCAGAGAATCAGAGAAAAAGTCATTATAGCTGTTTAAAATACGTGCCAAATTATTAATTCCAGTAATAGGATCCATGTTAGATTCATGCTAGTTTTAAAATTGTGAACATAAAATAGAGAAATAGCGTAGGGGCACACGTTAAAGATTATAATTTGATAAAAATTCTGCTTGAAGCTAATTTCATTATTAACGAAGATAGGAAGTGGCAAAGTTAAGGAAGAAAAAAAAAAAATAAAGAAAACAAAACAAAGAACTAAAAGAAGAGCTCACGCGGAAATCTCACCTCTTGCAAGTTCTTCATCTCATAAATCATGAAGGCGTAGTCCGTAAGGAGTATGTCACCCCGGATGACCTCGAGATTGGGGAAAAGTTTGCTGAGGCTCTTCAGACCGTCCACGCGATACAGAAGAAAGTAGCCGGTGATCTCACGCAGTTCCGGGAAACTAACGTTCTCGAAATCGGCCTCGGTATTGTTCTCGATCAGCACGATCTGAAGGAAACCCTCGATCACGCGGCAGTTCCTCAATATCGCGAAGAAGCCAACGCTATTCCTGATATCTATGCTCTGACAAATGCCGTCCGCGATAGTCACGTTCTTGTATCGTCGTCCCTTCTCGCGTCCCACCTCCTCGCTCGATTTCATGTGCGAGTTGGGCAGATTCGACGACTGACTAGACTGCTGATTGTTCTTGAACCCGACATCCGTAGATCTGGAACAATCGAGTTTTCATTAATTACAGTAGATAACGAATTTGTCGATTCTCTTCCCGTTTCTCCTTTTTTACGGTGTTTCACGAACTTCGAGTTTTCGATTGTTTGAACAAACTTTGAATTATCGAGCTTCTATCTCTGTACTGTTATATTAAACTCTGAGTCAGCTCCTCTTGATCAATGTTCCGTGAAATTGTGATGTTGACATTGAAATTTTCATCGAAAAAAAATTTTTTTTTTTTTTTATATAATTTGAAATAATTATAACTCGATGTAAAAATGATAATTTTTACACACACTTAATAAAATAAAATATATGTATTTCATTTTGTTAAATTTTTAACATAAAAGTGTTTTTTTTTTTTTTGCTATAAAAATTATTCCGCACAGATTTTACTTGCATTTAAATGAGCTTACTTTTTGTGTATGAATCACTCGTTCAAGCAAGAAAAATTAGCGAGGCGTTTAAAAGCTGTTAATTACTTTAATAAGATCAAAGAGAATTTCAATGGCGACAGGAGTGCAGAGATTCTCGTCGCGTTGCAATCTCGACGATACTATATACGCGTAATAATTGATCTAAAGGAATTTATTGGCTAAAATAAAATCACTTAGCGCTTATTATCACATTCAAATAGATGTCGAAGTATGACAAGCACGACAGTTATTATGAAATTGATCAGATGCTTTGTGTCTGTTTCGAGGGACAATTTCTGCGTATACGGCATCTGTCGCGTTTCGAAAATTCGCAGATTCGGATATATCTCCGATTACGAAAGAATTCGCTGATAAATCGAACAAACGCAAAAGTACGGTTTTGCTCTAACAAAATCGAGTAGATCGTTTATAAGTTTTATAATTAATTCATTTAATCGATCAAATATATATATATATAAAATGTATATATACAAGATGTCCGACAAGTAAGTGACCAAACGAAAGGTGGAGGTAGCTTGGGTCAAACTGAGTACAAAAGTCCTGAACCATTTTTTTTATAACGCTTAATAAAGGAGTTATTATATATATATTATTTCCAAAAATGTATATATTAATATAAAATATATACAGGGTGTTTCAGGCCCATATGTCCACTCCTTTTATTTTGAAAAGGATGATGCTAGGAAGTTGTGACAAACATGTTTGCCATAAAAGCTTTTCTGAAGTTTCTGATGATGGTATTTTCATTTTTGGGAAACCTCCCGAAATACCGGAAACCGAGGGCAACATAAAAATTTTAAATGGCAACATGGAGCAACATTTCTCGATAACGATACTAACATAAGTGATACTAAACTTTTCTTCAAGCAAAAGTTGTTTCTTTCTAAGAGCTGTACCCAACGATACTCATGTTGCCATTTAAAATTAATTAAGTTGCCCTCGGTATCCGGTGTTTCCGGGGGTTTCCCAAAAATAAAAGTACCATCATTAGAAACTTTAGATAGGCTTTTATAATAAACATGTTTGTCCCAATTTCCTAGTACCATCCCTTTTCAAAATAAAAGGGGTAGACGGGTAATCTAAAACACCCTGTATATATATATCTCCGATTACGAAAGAATTCGCTGATAAATCGAACAAACGCAAAAGTACGGTTTTGCTCTAACAAAATCGAGTAGATCGTTTATAAGTTTTATAATTAATTCATTTAATCGATCAAATATATATATATATAAAATGTATATATACAAGATGTCCGACAAGTAAGTGACCAAACGAAAGGTGGAGGTAGCTTGGGTCAAACTGAGTACAAAAGTCCTGAACCATTTTTTTTATAACGCTTAATAAAGGAGT